ACTTCTCCAGGCCCATAGCAAGTACGGCCTGGCTACCGCTGATACCACAAAATCCAATGGCTGTTTAGTCAGTTTATGGTAAATGCTGCCAGGCCTGTATCTCTCTCATTTCAGGAATTGGCTCCCCTCTGTCCCAGAAAGAGTCCAGAAGGGCTATCTAGGAGCCAAGGCCTGGAGTCAGGGACCTCAGGAGCCCACTCTGTACTCTACCCCACTGTGGCTGAGCTGGTACCCAAGCTGCAAGACAGAGTCCCCTTTACTATTCACTCTGCTTTCTCCAAGTAGAAGGAATATCTCCCCATGGCTACCACAGGTGGGGATATTGGATTATACCTAAAACCAGCACGGCACTGGATGTCACCCAAGGCTGCAGTGAGTACTTCCAGGCTACTGTTTATGTTCATTTAAGGCTCAAGGGCTCTTTAGACAGCAGGTGATGAACTGCCACGACTGAGTCCTTCCCTTCAACTCAGTGGGTTCTCTTGTGGCCCAGGAACATTGTCCAGGAGGTAGAATCAGAAATGGGGGCCTCAGGACTCTGCCTGGTGCCCTATTCTACTGTGGTAAGCTAGTATCCAAGTTGCAAGACAAAGTCCTCTTTACTCTCTCCTCTCCTGAAGCAGAGGGAAGGACTTTCTCTTGGAGCTGTGAGCAGCACTGCTTGGGATTGGAGGAGGAATGGTGCAAGCACTCCCTTGGCCACTCAAGTTGCCAGAACTTGAGCCAGAACTCAAGTTGCAAATGCTGAGGTGGACAATTCCCCTCTTGCTAGGGCTGGTCTATGTGTGACAGCTGAATTTTGCCCTGTGTTGTTTTCTATTATAACAGGCAGCACTAAGCTCCAATATGAAGTCCCACAGTCACTGTGCTCTCCCTCCCCTAAGCACAGATTCTCTGTGCGATGTGGTGACTGCTGTGGGAGAAGAGAGATGTCGGCAATTTAAGACTGACTTTCCTACCCTCTTCAGTGTCTCTTTCTTTGATATACTGTTAAAACCAGGCACTGTGATCATTCATCTGATTTTGGTTCTTATGGAGGTGGTTTCTTGTGTGGATTGTTGTTAAATTTCATGCTCCTATGGGGGGGATGATCAATGGAAGGTTCTATTTGGATATTTTGCTCCATCTGTCCCGCTTTTTTCCTTTGTTTACAAACATATTTTTAACTCTTTTTAAAAAATTGTATAAATTTATGGAGTATAAGTGTAATTCTGATGCATGGATAGATTGTGTAGTGGTGAAGTCAGTACTTTTAGGGTATCCATCAGCTGAATCTTTTTCTTAACCTAGCAAAGAAGGTAGGTGGGTAGGGCATGCTACAAATCAAATACTTATGCAAAGAAATGAAGGGATATATATAAATCAAATGGCATACGTACAAATACTTAGTAGAATCTGAGATAAGGTTTTACTTAGAAGAAAGTTTTCTCTACAGTTTATTTCTTGTGTCCTGTATGTAGCATGCGTGAGTCGCATTACATTTTGCTGGTATCTGTTAATGTCTTAGTTCTAGTGAGTTTACTAAAACCACAAGAAAAATGTGATACAACAATAAAGGTAGAAAAATCCTATTAGGTAAACATCTATAAAAATTAATGATTATACTTTAGAAGTATTCAGAATTGGCCTGCAAGTTTTGTTAAAAATAAAAACTTCACAAAAGTAGCACCAAATTCTAATTTTTTAAAATTACAATACCTTTCTATAGTGTAAGTGGAATTTTCCTACCATGAGAAAGCCTAGGATCGATTGCTTTCAAATTATTTAAATAATTATAATAAGGATAGGTGTTTCAGTGACACTAGTTTTGCTACTTCTTTATTTTTCTTTCATCTGAAATATATAAATATGGGATGAATTAGAACACAGTTTAGTTGGTTATGAACTTGTTAGGATATTTGTCTTATATATTTTCACATGTGTTGAGTACACATGCTTTCTGGTGGTTTCCATAAATTAATTCTCTTACCACATGTACTAGTGTCTAGAACTTCTACAATATGCTCACAAAGAGGGATACAGTTTGCATAAGACTCAGTGCTGAGCTGTCACTTCTTTATCCTCATCGAGCAGTTATTGCCCTGGGCCTACTCCCGCTATGCAAGGCACTCTGCTTGGGAAACTCCATGGATATGAAGAGTTATAAGGAAAAAGTGACATGTTGATTTGCAGTTCAGGTAAAAAGTGCTACAGGAGTTCTGAAGAGGGAGTGATCACATGGCTTTAATGAGCAGAGAGTTGAAATGGCATCCAGTGGTAGAATCTAGATGAGTAGAACAGAAAAGGCACAATCTGTAGAGGAACAGGAGACTCCTGACATTGGGGAATAAACGTGCTGTGGGCAAATGCCCAGCAGCAAATACTTTGATCTGGGTGGAACCAGAGCATAGAAGACATGGGACAAGACAGAGTCAGGGCCAGACCATGGAGGGCACTCAGCTCCCAGAGGCTAAACACTCCTCTTAGACAATGAGAAGTCATGGACAATATCTAGGGCTGAGAAGTGTACAACATGGCATTCCCAAAGTAGAAGTTTATGAAGAAGAGCTGTATAAGGCATATGGTACAAAGGGATAAGGACATAGGATCTAAAGGAGATAGATTACTTTGCAATAGAATAAAGGGTAGTCAAGACTGGAATGGTGGCAAGGAAATCAGAAAGAATGACTTTAAAGGCACAGAGAAAGATAAATCAATAGGCTTGACTAGCTGACTTAAGGGAAGAGAGAAAAGAGGAGTTAAGGGAGCTAAATTTGGGGGCTTATTTTTTATTCATCTTTATATTAGAAAATTTGGAGTTTATAACCCAACCTCTCTCCCCTTTTCTTCCAGATGACCTCATCATCACAGCCTCCTGTGTTAAGCCCATGAGTTCCTGCAATTCCTTCCTAAGAAATCTGGAATCACGCCTGACAGTTAGAGGATGCTTGCCTTCTGAAGTGTTGGCAGTAGCCATTTTCTTCCATTTGAATGAGAAACCTGGAAAGACTGCTTTACAGTAAGAGGAAAAGAAAGAAAAGAGAGAGGCAGAAATATAAAAGATAAGAGATGGAAAATAAAGGCTGGGTCTGGATTCCTTGTTACACCCTGGTCTCTGTTTTCATGTGTTCCTAGAGGCAAACACATCCCTCCTCTTGAATTGGGTAGGATATCCCTATAATGCAGCAATACATTCCTCCTTTGATTAAATTAGCTTGGCAGCTTGGCAGGGTTATTGTTACTTGTAGCTAAAATGCTCCACACTTAAATATTCCTCAGCATAAACTCTTCATCTTCAGCCAGTTGTACTCTGACTACTCTCTGAACACTTCAAGCACATTATTGACATTTTACATTGTTAGGATATTTTTTTCATCTAGAATGTCTTTCCCTTCCCAATCCTGCTGATTCTGCCTATATAAATCCTGACTATCTTTTCTTTCTTCCATTTGTCTTTATTAAGCACTTTTTGAGTGAATCCATAGAATCTGTAAATTACAATGTTATATTTTCCCACTTGAAGTCCTTGATTTTAGTGAACTCTTGGAAGAATACTTAAAACTTACACAAATAGAGTAGAAGCAAGAGGATGGTACTGAACAGTCAAAGAATTTATGCTCTCAAATATATGAATGTAAGCAAATTCAATTAGACAAGAGTCTACTTAGTTAGTAATACCATTGACTTTAAGATGGGTTCAGAGAGGTGTCGGGAGGCCATTTGGCCAATGTAGACATTTTACATGAGGAATTATATTAGTTAGGAAATAGAAAAAGATAAAAATAACCTTCATATAAGTAATTCATGATGCATTATTACATAAATGCTAAAAATTCAATTCTGTAGATATCTATAGGACATTCTACAGCTTAGTGACAGACAGATCTAGAACCTACCAATGCTGTCTGACTCAAAGTCCAAAGCTTTTCCAATTGCTATTTCAGGAAATAAGAAATTCATCAGTTTTCAAATGAGACAAAAATATTCTATTTTATCTCTTCAACTAATTTTTTTAAATGATAATGTATTTTTAAATATTATCCATTAACCTAGTAATATACTCAAGGAACCATCTTGAACCTAATGCCCAGGATATATTATTTAACAAATTAAAAAATAAAAACAAATAAACTTCTATCCTGTTTTGAGACAACACTGAATATCTCTCAAAGGCCTGTTTTTGCCTGTAGAAATGAGAAAACCCATCTGCTATCCTGTGAAATCTCACATAAATTCAGAACACAATGGAGTATTCCTTCAGTAATCATAGTCTTTGGTCTGGTGACTTACCATGCCTCAGGAGAGAAAAAAAGCAAAATTACCTTATGAAAGCAATAAGAAAATATCCAGCAAATGGATGGATATTTAATGAGCTTGATAAAGTACCAAGAAATAGCTAGTGTTTCTTTCTGCCCCATTCAAAAGAATATTCCTAAAACCCCAAACAGCCACACCAAATTACAAGAGTAACACTGGTTACTGTGATGCTATTGTATGAAAAATCTGTTGCTAAGCAGGGCAGAAAAATTGTTTACATGAAAATGGAATGGTCACTGGTGAATACTGAAAGAAAATAAAATTTTCTATAACCAGGAAAAGAATTTTTACATCACTCAATTTCAACTGCTATAAAACCCTGAGTAGCTTTGACAATTGCTTTTCCCTGCTTTGCTGGTTTTATATCATCCTCATTTCTGCAGCTTTCCATTTACTAAATGACAGGGTTTTTTGTTTTTTGTTTCTGGGTGTTTTTTTTTTCCCCCCTAAAGCCTAGGCAGAAAATACCAATGTGCTATATGGTTTCTAGGGGCCCACCTTGCAACATTCATAAAATACACTTTTGGTGCCCCTCTTGTAAAAGTCCAATTGGCTTTTCCTACCAGTATAATTGTTGAAAATATAAACAGAGAAGGCCCCATTAATAGTAACTGTAAATGCTGTACTGAACTAGATTTATGGAGCCTGTTACACTGAGAACAGAGCATTCAACAGCTTAGTTGAGGGAAGGGAAATACACTTACCTGCATCACAATAAGGAGGTCAAAGACCAAGATAAAAGAAGCAAGGAATGCTCTGGAAACTTCATCACTGGGCAAAAATCCCCGATTCAGCTTGTCCCAGCTGATCCAGTCCGTTGTAATCACAAGTACAACCACAGACGTCAGAGTAAAAAGCACTGTCCTGTAAGGAACGAGACACTCATTAAAGAACATAAGGCATACAATATAGATACTAGAGTGATGTTATCTGTGCTGTATTAAATGTCTGCCCCTTGCAAGTGCCTACGCTAACGTATATTCACCAAAAGGAAGATGAACAAAGTTGACCCGCACTTTGGGAGGCCAAGGTGGGTGAATCATCTGAGGTCAGGAGTTCAAGACCAGCCTTCCCAATATAGTAAAACCCTGTTTCTACTAAAAGTACAAAAAAAATTCGCCAAACACTGATGTGCGCCTGTAGTCCCAGCCACTTAGGAGGCTGAGGCTGGAGAATCACTTGAACCTGGGAGGCGGAGGGTGCAGTGAGCTGAGATCGTGCCACTGCACTCCAGCCTAGGCAACAGAGTAAGACTCTTANAAAAAAAAAAAAAAAAACTTAAGTGCTTTCTTTTAAAAGCAATTAGAAAAAGTTGTAGTAGCATCTCTTCCAAGATTTTCCCTAAAGAACATTAATAATTATGAAACAAATAATTAACAACTAACAATATTAAAAATGATTTTGGTTAGTGCAGTAAGTGTCCCATGAAAACATTGGTATGTGGCTCTTAGTAAACATGTACATTGTTTACCAAGGATAGTGGACATGCAACCTAAGGAGATAAGGCAGATGGTGAATGGTTGAGGAAATTTTTGTAGAATTATCCTTCTACAAAGGACGGGGATAGTTAGACCAGACACATAACCATCCCCGAGACATGATAAGCTCCATATAGGAAACACCTCTAAATGCCAACAATGTAGCCTGTTCTCATAGGACATTTACTATCCATGGCTTGTGGTCTAGTGACCTCTCTCCATGTCAGAGCATCTGCCCCCTGCTATAAGATATTAGGACGCTGACATTTTCTCTTACATATCTTTGTAGCCACCATAAAATCTTGCATAAGTATACACAGATGGAGTTCGAGGGTTAGTTGAAACTAAGGCATTTTTTAAAAATCAGAAAAATATTCAAATTAGTCTTTAATGCTGACTTTTAAAGTAGATCGGAAATGTGGGTGGTGAAAATTTAATCTGCCAGAGAATTGTCTGTAATGTAGTTAAGCCTGCGCTTTCAGGGCTATATTGATAGCTAGATACTGTTTAGAATTATAAGAAGAAAAAAATTATTTGAAATATATTTAATCAGATAAAAAATGCAAGAAATAAAAAGGAAAACAGAAGAAAAGACAGAGGTGAAATAACATCGTAGAACACATACCCATTTTGGCAATTAACAAAACTGGTTTTGCTCTCTAATGTCTTATAATAATTGAAACTCATACAAAATAATATGAATCTTCATAGAATTCTCTTTTCAGTTGTACATAGTGCAAAATTCTAAGCCAAAAATTTAGTTTTCCTTTTCACAACTTATTTGAAGCAATTTATACTTTGATATAATGTATATAAAAAAATCCTTTTTATATTTTTTCTCCTCATGAATGAAAAGATACATTATTTTTTAAAATTTTAGAAAATGAACATTCCTATTAAACCTCATTATTTTATTAAAATTGCAAATTTTCAAAAGAATTTGGCTCATGACCTCTAAAATATAAAGAGCACAGATTGTCTCCTGCTATTGTTTAGAGTAACTTTGATCACAGAAATGCAGATGAATTAAATAATTATGGGAAAAATTCTAACTATTATATTTCAATAGATAGAAATTGCAAGTATTATATAGTAAGAATAGTGGGACTTATGCAAAATTTTCTCCAGGTTAAGTCTATGTGTTTTTTTATTTTGTTTGAGTTTGAGAAACCTCAAGCAACTCTGAATGAAATCACCATATTTTTTTTTCAAGAAGAAATGACAATCTCCATGAAGAATAGATAAATATTGATTATTATTAAAAGTTTTTTGGTATTAAGGGTATTTTCTCATCATTCTTGGCTTTTCAAATGCATTTCCCACAAGGATGCTATGAATATATATGAATATATATACTTTACAGGATGCACTCATATCGCTGTATAGGTTGGTAAACAGTTGGGGTCCCAATTTTCTCGTGTCCCACTTTGCCTCCTCAGCCTCCTTCACAGAACCTCTCACCTCCCTGTTATCCAGCACTGCCTAGTTAACCTCTGGTGAAAGAAGGGTATTCTAATACTTCATGCTAGTGTCTATTCTACTGGCCGGAGCATGTAGTCCATAAATTATTATTTTTAATATCATTACTGCATTTGCACCTGGAACTTCCTTTAGTAAAGACAGTTGATTAAGAGGAATTAATACTCTAATGTTACTTCATGGGTCTAAATATGTTAACTGTTACTGTAAAATTAAATATTTATTCAGAGGCACATTTTTAGGTGTGAAAGTCTGGGAGTTTGGAATAAGTGTCTGCTGAGCAATTAGAAACCTCATCTATTACAATTGTTGTAAAGGAACTATTCTAGGAGTTAGCAAGATAGCAGAATAGAAGATCCTCTACTCATATCCTCCCACAGAACAATAATTTGGCAGCTATCTATGGAAAAAAGTGCCTTTGTCAAGCTTTGGGATTCAGATACAAAGTCTAAGACCGATCAGGGCAGTTCTGAGAGGGCAGGCCTGTACCCAGTCAGCAGGCTTATGAACAGTGGCCCTGGATACAGATCCAGAAACAACCTCATTCCCCTATGAACTTGGCTACAGCTCCATTTGGCCTTGGTCCTGCCACTAGAATCACCCACCAAGGAATGAGGGAGGAGTCATGCCCACATGCGTTTTGTACAACAGACCTGTTGATCTCAGCCCCAACTGTGGACCTTAAAGTGGCCCTATAATTCAGTTCCAGCCACTCTCGCCTATAGTCTGACAGCATTTCTGACGACACAGGGACCTTCCAAAAGATATGTCCATTCATACCCTGGTGGCAGTCTCAACTTTGGTCCCACTGTACATGCTGAAAGAGCCCTTTAACTTGGTTCCAGCTCCCCTCAGCTGTGATCTGAGAACAGTTCTGTACACCAATGGACTTTATAGAAAACATGCTCATCCATGCTCCCAGAAATAGGCCAGCTGATCTCAGGCTGAATATAGATCTTAAAGTAGACCTGTGATCCATCTCCAGCTCTGCTTGGACGCAGTCGGGGCAGTCTTGCCCCACCAAGACCCTGGCAGGAGGTTCATCTGTCTGTGACCCTGGAAAGAGACCTAAAAACATTCAACTCAGCCATGGACCCTGAAGCACCCCTGTAACTCAGCTCTAGCCCCCCTCAGCCATAGTCCAAGACCAGTTCTGCCTGACCAAGGATCTACCTAGTGACCCAGTGGGAGCCCTCCTAAGAACTTGGAGAGAAAAACATTCAACAGTATACCTGGTAACAGGCCTGCCATCTGTGGAGCCAAGTGTTGAATCTAAAGCCCACCCTTGCCCTAGTGCCAGTTCTACTGCCCAAAGTCCAATCCATCTTGAGACGAGACCACATATATTCTGCTCCTCATACGAACCAGCAAAAGTCACATGACCCAGAAGAAATCCTATCAGGCTGGGAACCTTGAAAGGGAAGGTCAATATCTGCCAAAGCCAATCTGTAAAGATTTGAGCAGGTATTTGTTCTTCAAATGCAAACACAAAAATGCAAATCTACACAGATAATAAAGAATCAGATAAACACGACACCACAAAAGCAAAGTACTAAGTGCCAGTAACAACCGCAAAGAAATTTAGACCTATGAACTGTCTGACAGAAAATGCAAAACAATCATATTAAAGAAAATCAGTGGGATGGAAGGGGAAACAGACAACTAAATGAAATCAGAAAAACAATGCATGAACAAAATCAGAAGTTAATAAAAAATAGAAATCATAAAAAAATAGAAATATTGGATTGAAGAATGACAGAACTGAAAAATTCAAAAAAGAGGTACAATATCATATTTAATCATACAAAAGAAAAAATTAGCAAACTTAAAGACAGGTCACATTGAATTAGTCAGTTAGAGAAACAATTAAAAAAAGAGTAAAGAGGGCATACTAGGCTGAACTTAGTGACTCATGCCTGTAATCCCAGCACCTTGGGAGGCCAAGGCAGGTGGACTGCTTGAGGTCAGGAGTTTCAGAGCAGCCTGGGCAACATAGTAAAACCCTGTCTCCAAAAAAAAAAAAAAAGAAAAAGAAAAGAAAAAGAGAAAAGAAAAGAAAAGAAACATCAGCCAGGCATAGTGGCCTGCACCTGCCGTCCCAGCTACTCAGGAGGCTGAGGTGGGAGAATTATGAGCCTTGGAGGCGGAGGCTGCAGTGAGCCAAGATCACACCACCGAACTGCAATCTGGGTGACAGAGTGAAACCCTGTCTTAAAAAAAAAAAAAAAAAAAACAGAGCATACTAACTTATGGGTATCATGAAGATAATAAATACTTGATTTCTGAAAGCCACAAGAGAAGAGACAAACAGAAGGCTTATTTAAAGAAATAATGTCTGAAAACTTCCCCGAGAGATACAGACATCCTGATTCATGAAGCTCAAAGAATCTAAAGAAGGACCTACCCAGAGAATATTTTTCTGAGACACATTACAGTAGTTCCACTTTATCCTTGGTTTCACTTTCAATGCTTTCACTGACCTGCAGTCAACCACAGTTTGAAAATACTAAATGGAAAATTCCAGAAATAATTCACAAAATTTAAATTGCATTCTGTTCTGAGCAGAGTGAAGAAATCTCACTCTGTCCTGCTCTGTCTTGTCCGGGATGTGGATTATACCTTTTGCCAGCATATTGACACAGAACATGCTTTAGTCACTTAGTAGTCATCTGTTATCAGATTGACTGTTGTGGCACTGAAATTTGTTTTCAAGTAACACTTATTTTACTTAATAATGGCTTCAAAGCACAAATGATGCTGGCAATTTGGATATGCCAAAGAGAAGCCATCAAGTGAAAAGGTAAAAGTTATTGACTTAATAAAGAAAAAAAAAAATGGCATGCTGAGTTTGCTAAGATCTACGGTAAGAACAAATCTTCTACTCATGAAATTAAGAAGAAAAAAAAT